CTGTTGATTAACACAAAAACCTACCAGAGTGGCTTTACATCTCCGTATAGAGGTTGCTCAATTTGATCAGCATGGTCCACATTAGTTATTGTGGTATCGAATGTTCCACCTTAATCACCAAAGTCTAACATCAGAGGTGGGAGCAGCGACTGAGTCCGATAAGCTCGGAATAGGACATAGGAGGCGCCCGAGAAATCCCCCAAGACATCGCCCTCGCGTTCATCTTCGCTATAGCTGACATCTCAGCCGAAGCAGCTCGAGAAGATCAGGTGAGGTTCCTGAAACCACGGCATGGCGCCATCGACGCGAGCTCGCCTCGCTCGTGAAGTGGGAGGAGGGGGGGTATTGCTCGACTGGGCTAATATACATGGCCACCGGACTGGGCGCCGTGGCTGTGAGATGGTGAGTAGTGACTGGGCTTGAGATCCTGGCTTAAGAGTCTGGACACGAAAGTCCATCCAAAAGTCCTCCATCCGAGGTCTGGGAGAATGAACTTGATCTTCACATCTTCAGCTTCTGCTGCGGTCCAGTGGTTTGGGCCAACGCGGTCCGGCGGCCCGAACGCCGATCGAGACCTGGGCAGGTAGGGCCCGGAACCCAACCCTCAAGGCACTGAGGGCCCTGGTAGGTGTTTCTGAGATGAGCACAGGACCTCTGAGCCTCTGGGAGTAACCTTTGTTGCTTCCCTTGAAGCACTCTAAAGGTCTGTAAGCTCCTGTCTCCCTAGCAAGGCCTGCCCTAACCAACTATACAAGTTGCATGAACAAAGGGACCCAGCAAACTGAAGCTGCATCTGAAGTGCATGAAATTGGTGAACAAATCCCTTTGAAACAGCTATCGCGGGCACAGCTGCAAAACGCACAGCTGGACGCACTTTCACCTGTCCCAGGGACACCTCTTTCATGGACGACCTTGATGTTTCAACGAGTTTCATGCCAGACCCAGCATGTTCACGTCCGCTCTTCTTTCGTGCCAAACAGGTCAGCGGAGCCCTGCAGCTTAAGCTGCAGGTTTCAAACCGCAGGCGCCACGAGTGAAGCGGAGCGGAGTTTCCAGCAAAAAAGGATTGCCATCTTGAGCGGCAAAGAGATCAGAACTGGGGATACATGACTTGCTCAATTCAAGCTGCACACGTTCAGCGCAACGCTCTAGCTAAGACTAGCTACCAGTAAGACCCCCAGTCCAGCTACTGTTTGAAGTCGTGATTTCCTGTGCCGGGAACCATCCGGTGATGTCGTGCAGGTGATGCCATCCGGGTGCATGCTATTTGACGTCGTCTATTCTGTGTTCTCCCGGCAGTCGCTTTCCATGATGTCCAGGGGTATTAATCAGTGGGTCTGTCAGCTTGTGCCAAAATATCAAAATGACTGTTCTAAACAACCAGCATGCTTTGATATTGCTTTGTAGGAATGTTTTCGAGACACACTCACTTTGCTGGGCATATTTGGCAACACACCACACCACTTTATAATTAATTCACAGTACCACCATGATGACAGCTCTTGTCTTCATGCTTTACCCCACCACTTGTTCCAATGTGTTCAAGAGGTCCCGCTACGATCGTTTCTCGGTCGCAGCTCGTCTGCGCCAAGTCTACTCGCCTCGCTCACAAAATCCAGCAACCTGTACTGCAACCTGGTCGAGGTGCTTGCACACTGAGATCCTTTCTGATGACTTCTGATAAACCTTTGGCCTTTGAGGTACTTCAATTTGAACAACGACACACAAGAATCAAAACGACCTATACATACCCATAACTATATACCTATACTATATAAACACGTGAAAGCAATAAAACTTCTGAATGCTTTCAAACCATTGTCTCGAGTTACAAGTACTTCAGCACATCACATGTTTTAAGGCCCTCAAAAAGTGGGACATTTGAGCTTCCAATATAAAGCCCTAGGGACGGGATGATTTTGACCCACAACTCAACAGTGAAACCACCTGCCGCCTTACACAAAGTGTGAAAATCCACTATGCAGTCCATCCACTTTGTATCTCAAAACCGTTGCTCAACTGTGGACAATCGACTAATTATGAACCATGGCCTCTGCAAACGTGGCAATTGAATGTTGACGCTTTGATCATTCATCACAATTCCCCAAACGCTGAGATGTTTGGCAATCGTTTGGCTTGGGGGTGTATGGGGGTGTGTTGATTCATTGTTTGGTCAACACTGCAAATCGCTACACAATGGACCTATGGAAGACCATTCTCCTCTACGAACCAGAACCAGGTTCTATCTGGGTCTCTTCCCCCGCGTAAATCGCTGCCACACTCGCTCGCCTCCACACCACAACTCGCAGTGTTTGGACCCCCTTCGAACCAGCGGAGCCTGTTGGAGGAGCTTCCCCTCGCGAGAAGCGGTGCAGCAACTCCTCAGCGATACAACGATCCGACGCCGGGTTTTTGTGGAGGGGTCACTGGCTAGGGGACTGATGGAGGAACAAGACCTTGAACCACCAGCTTGCACCACTATACTGAATATATCTATCTGAATGGAAAGATTCCGGGCTTTTGCAATTTGTGGTACAGGAGTTTGGTTGATCTCGTGGATGTTAGCCCCAAAATAGTGTACGTATGTGTACGTTCACAAAGAACACTACTGGGTGCTCGCCCTAAGGCACGGCATGAATAAGGCACAGCACAACCTCTAAACCGCATGGGCACGGCAGATTACACAGAAAGCACGGCAGTGCCAAAAGGCACAGCACCGAACGCAAAGTCCCATGGGTACAGCACATTCAGCGCAAGTGCAATGGACTAGCATGATGCACGGAACACTGCACACACACAGACTACATCAAGACTTGACTTTTTGCACGCGTCAAGGCATGTCTTGCAAGAAGAGAAACAACTGGATACAGCACTTCTTAGTTTTTGCTTTCAAACTCTTGTTTGCAATTCGGTTTGGAAGTCAGCACGATCCAAGAGTTCTCAGTTGAAACATTTTCCTGAAGATGCCATGGCTGCGACAGCAAAAACAAAGTACCCTATCCATGAATCCAACGGGTCACTTCAAAATCTGTTTGCCGTTTGCCAACATGGCAAGCCACTTTGGTTTGAATGAACATGTATTCATGATACATTGCAACCTTTTCACATGTTCCGAGATGTTCCAAACACGGATCACGTATACGTTTGTCTCTATAATATGTCGTGATATCAATCCATCCTATCCCATCTCTGCTCGTGCCCAAAGCTGTCCAGCAACAAAACAACAAAAAAACTGTTCAAATCTGCCAATCCCAAGTTGCTACGAGCAGTTCCATCAACACAAAGAACCCGTCCAATCCAGGCACATTGATCTTGGAGCAGGTTGGTTTGTTTTGGTGTCACTCCGACATACTGAACGCCATGGCGTGGCCCAAGAGCCATGCCAAGACCTTCCTACTTCGGTCGATTCTGGTGCCCAGTCTCACAGATGGGGAAGGTTCCTCTCTTCGGATCGGTCGCCGGGAGCTGTGCTGCTCGGAGCTGCGGGTCACAAGTTGAGCCGGTTCCGTGAGAAGCACATCGCAGATCGACTGGCTTCGAGTCTTCTGGCTTCAAAAGAATGTCAAGAACATCGAAGACTCCCGTAGCATATACATATGTGCACGTCCGGGGAGACTGGGGAGAGATGGAGCACACATCAAAACAATTATACAATACTATACCCCAGCACCACCCAGGTTGGGTGGTTATTAGATGGAAAATACCTCTTCAGGGGGGTCTATAAACCACCCTTTGGGTGGTGCTGCTGGCCTATAAATATATATATATACCTGCTAATCTAAACGATGGGATTAAACCAGTGGTTTTGGTGAACGACTGCCTCTACTTGAAACGACTGCTTTCCTTCGGTTCGCTTGGCCCCACTGAGGTCCAACCATCAGGACCATTCCCATGCAATCACTTGGATGGGTTTCAGGTGGCTGGCCCAAAGATCGGGGAGCGGCAACGCATGCATCAATGCATTAAATGAGTTTAAGGTTCACAATGATCGGTGATATCTCAACTGATCGACTATGATAGAATTTTACAAGATGTTTGCCAATCGTGTCATAGACTCACCCAGCTCACCCATGCCACCGCTTTTGACTGGTCGGCGCTTGATGGGTCGATCACTCCTTGGCTGGCTTGGCCGTGTTGGGACGTGCGCCCAGTCAGGGGATTGGAGCTGGGCACTGCATGGAGGAAGGGGAATGATGACAGGACACCGAACACCACAATACACCACACGTTCCCACACCTTAGACATTTTGGCTGTAAGCCTGCTAGCACCATGGGGCTGAGGTAGATTATAGTGAACTTAGGAAAAACTTCCGCTACACGGAGCCATGTTTGAGAAAGTGGGAGACTTCACGGAAGTTACGATCCAAAGGCATCCAGGGCAAGTCCCTTCTCGAGAGCGAGAATCCTGGTAGGGTTGCTCCTTCACTTGCCAATATCAGCTTGAACTACCATTTGCTGAAAGGCTTCACTGGCCACATGGCTGATTCTGGGGTGATATGTACCAAGCTACTTGAACCTATAAAACCGCCAGTGGCAGCTTTCTATGAGATGATGGGGGTTGACACAACCAGTGCCCACGCCATTTCCATAATCCATGGTGTGGCATGCGCCATCAAAAAGATGCTAACCAACATTCGCCTCAAGTGGAAGAGATGGGAAATGCCAAGGGTCCCTTTTCTGAACTGCATGGGTACCATTGATGTTTGTGTTGTTTTCGTTTTTGTGTTTTCTAATTCATGCTAGGCTCATGAAATCTCATGGACAATTTCCACCATCCTTTTTGGAAACTTAGGATGCAAAGGTTAAAGACTTGGTGTTGGACTTGTCGAGGGCTTCTCAAAAAGCCTTTGATGAAACTTTACGGTGCTTCAGAAAGCTTTGTTTCCGAAGTTGTTTTGAACATACTTTTTGTCACTTAACCCGACCATGCCGGACCTAATTACTGACCTATGATCAAACTTAAGGAATGCCGGAGTCCATTCATTTTCCAAGCTGATGTCATGGCTGATGTTTGCTCGCCATCGGATGCCGAGAGTGATGGTACAAGTAAGATCAGTGATTTTTCCATCCGTGCAAGCCTGTCCCGCAGCAGCTCACTGCTTGAGGAGGAGCAGACCAGGTCATTGTCAGAACTCCAACCCCTTCCTGACGCCATGTCGAATGAAGACCCCAGCAATGCTGATGCCTTTCAGCATGATAGTCAAGTCATGATTGAGGACAGCTACACCCAAGAGGAATCCCAAGTGCCCTTGACACAGGCTGCCGGAGGTGGTGATGGTGAGGACTCTGATGTTGAGATGGTTGTCGCCAAAAGCGTGGAGCCAGATGCCAGTGCGGAGCCAGATGCCAGTGTACCGGAGGCAACAAGTGCAATGGCCCCCGAAAACATCAATCAGTTGACAGTTTTGCTCAATCTAGTGAAAGCCAAAGCAGCTCAAGTCCAGCTCGAACATACTGAGGCTCCGATTCTGTGTTTGCATTAACAGATCACTTTTAGTTTTTTCATTGGCAGAAAGCCTTTTCAAGCTGGCTTTGATTATCTTTATGCACATGCCACGTCACATGATCATGCCCGCTGACGGCCGAGGAAGACTGCAGAGGGTTCCAGTGCCAGTGGCCAAAAGTTGGATGCGACTGCTGCGGCTGAATCTGGGGCTGCTACCGGTCCAGGCCAAGGGGGTCCCTCATCTGTATTCATTGAATCTATGCGTGGAAGAACTATTAAGATTTACTAGCTGACATGAACGCAGAACCTTTGTGAGCTTTTTTAACTATGGTGGCCTGTGATCATGCGAGGCAAGCCTATTGATGAGGAGGAAACGCAGGAGGTTGGGCTTGGGCGCACCTTGGAGATGAATCTCTTGAGCGGTGAACATTCTGGTCAGGATTGCAATCCTTTGAAAGAACCATGATGTGTTTTAATAAGTTTATAGCGTGTTCATCAAAACCAAAATGCACCAGCTTTGGTGCATGAGACCCTAGTTTCCCTTCAGGACCCGAAGGCCAGCGCCACTGGGAATGCAGCAGCTGATCAAGTGTTGAGAGAGCAGCAACTTGCGCTTGCAAAGGCGAAGCAGCGTAAGCGTAAGCTTGACGAGGAGGGGGACGAGGAGGAGGAGGAGGAGGAGGTGCCAGTGAAGAAAAGGCCTGCTGGCAAAGCTAAGGCGAAGGGCAAGGCCAAGGGCAAGGCCAAGGCCAAGGGTCGTGCCAAGAAAGCAGCAAAGAAACCCAAGGCCAAAGCTTCCAAAAAGAAGGCCAAGGAGGTGGAAGAGGAAGAGGAAGAGGAGGAGGAAGAACCGGAGGAGGAGGATGAGGAAGAGGAGGAGGAAGAAAAGAAGGTGGAACCCAAGCCCAAGGCAAAAGGTAAGAAGGCAGAAAGCGAGGATGGCAGCAAGGATCCGGTGCCTGGCGATGGTTCCAAGAAGACGTTTGCCAAGAGGTACCAATCATCTTGTCAGCCAGAGAAGTGGTCTGCCATCCGGGATTCCTAAATGGCTCATGTGAAAGTCAATGTGCAGCTTCAAGCCTTCTGTAAGGAGCTTTGGGTTTGGGTGGTGGGGGTTGGAAATGTGTATACGAGGTGCATGCAAATTAAGCAAAATCAACCGAAGCATCAAAGTATGATGTGAATGAAACCCGGGGTTTCAAAATGGTCAATGACACATTCTCACACTCCTCTTCTGAGTTTGGAACGAATTTACCCATGGTGGCCATGATTAATGTGTATGGCCACCGTCATATTCCAGGAGAGCTGGTGGCAGCTCTGCATGAAGCAGTTGAAAGAACATGGCGGTGATCTCAACGTGGTCAACAAGGATTTGGCCATTGAGTTCTTGAAGGATGACAAGATCCGATACTTGCCCCAAAACTGAACATTTTGGATCAAACTAGCTCCAATATTCTTCCAGGTTTGATATGGAGCTTGACTTGCAGCAAAACCATTATATATACTTACTCAATCTTACTCCTTTAGTTCACCTTGCCACCTTTTTCTTCCTTTTGTTGGTGGATCTGTTAACATGGTACCGAATGCCAGCCGCTCCTTTCTGCTGGCCAGGATCTGTTCTGACTGCAGCCGGGAAGAAGTACCTCGCCTCCAGCGCTTCGCCCGCTGCTTCCTGAGCAGTGAGCTGATTTCATCATGGTGTGGCATTTTGGAAGATACGTTACATGGGTTAGAGCTTAGAAGCTTCCAAGTAGCTGTAGGGAGGGGTGTGGCCAGGGCACTGTGTTCATCAGAAGTCATGATTTCATGAAAAAACTTGTTCTCATTGAAGTTGAAAACCATGGTTCTATTCTCAGATTGCTTTTGCAGCTCTGTCACCCTTTGGGCCGCTTGTGCAGTTTCGTGCTCAGATTGGGTCAGGATCAATAACCGATCCATGGAAAATTGATTGGCCGCAGTTGTGGGGTAAACTGGTATAGAAAGATTTTTGGAGTGGGCCCCATGTTAAAGCTCAGTGCATTTTGAAATGCCACTGGCAAACCATCGTATAGCTATATTTTTGGGAAAGGTTTCAGCTTGGTTTGGGGTATTTAGAAAAGCCTTTTCTATTGAACTCATATTCGCACCGGCGCTCCAGGTACTCATGGCTGGAATCTTGGCCAGCTTGGGATTTCACCCTGGCGAGTCACCTCCCCGACTGGCCAGACGAGGAGGTTGGAGTTCCCCCCTTGCCTTGCAACTTGCAACGGGTTGATCCCTTTTCATTTTGAGTTGGTTCAGTACAAGTGGCTTCAACCAACCAGCGAAATCTGTTGGACAACTTGCAGCCAGCATGGACAACAGGAGCATGCATGCATAAGTTTTGGTCACAACCTTCCATGGCAGCACTTTTGCAAATCAAGTAGATACTGGGGTCGCTGGGGTTACGTATCCACGATGGCTGGCCCCCATTTTGCGAGACTCGGCTATTCCTTGATGAAGATCGGTGCTCCCAAGGCAAGGGTTATCCAAACCAAATCTGACAATCTGACACGCATGCATGGTGTTCAATACGCGTGGTAGGCATGCATGCATGACTCAAGTTGTTGGATCCAGGGCTCATGCGGCCCTTGTGTGCAGATCTTTGTCTTGATCATCCTCCTACTTCTTTGGAACAAAAACGTGGAGCTAAACCAGGCTGGGGCAATTCTCATGTGCAACTTCAATCCATGGTATGTGTACAAAATGCATGCTTGCATGGGAAACAATGCTTATAGGATTAAATCACATTCCAGGGCTACATGTATATTGAGCACTATGCTGGGTCATCAACTATGACATCGACTATCCGACAGAAGGTTGGCCCGAGCGCACGGTTGGACAAAGATTTCCATCGAGGAATGGACATCCTTACACCTGCTGGTTTTGCGTCCCTCACCATGAAACATCCAAACCATTTATGTGGCACATGCATGCATGCATGCATAAAATCCGAATCTGACATCTCATATTAATATAGTAAAACTTGGATCAACCCAGTCCAGGACTCATTTGGTGTCGGTACTACGTGGCAGTCCGGATGGGTTCGTGAAGTGGTCCGGCATCCAGTGTTCCAGCTGGGTTGCAATAAGCCGTGGGACGACGTTGAGGTCTTTTTTTGCACCGCTGGGAAATGAGGACGTGCGGTGTGTGTGGCTGAAGGAAACCTGATGACATCCCGAACATGTTTGATCTGTTATTTGGTGATGGCCCTCAGTGGATATTGGGTCATAGAGTAACCTGCATCGTCCCTTATGTTTCGCCACCCACGAATGCAGCAACTTTGTCGACTTGCAAAGGTCAGGGTCTTAACCGAGATGTTCGCAATGGGTTTCATCAATATACCATGTCACATGTCACATGAGCTACAATAAACTGAATACGGTTTCTTCGATGAATTCAGGTCTTCCGGTGCAACTTCTGGATGCTCTTTTTCAATTCACCCTCACCGAAGCGGACATCTCTGTGGAGCAACTCTCGCCATATCTCCAGATTTTGGATGGGAAAGCTTACCAAAAAGGTTAGGAAGCAACACAAAAAGAAGCACCCAAAGTTTGCAACGACTGTTCAATACATTGACAAAGATCAGCAACAGTAACAAGAATATAATCTTCCAAGTAGGCAGGCCATACATGCATGCATGCATTAGTGAATGCAAACGGCATACCATGCCCAGGAGCTACACCCAGGAGTTTGCCTTGAAAATGGTGGAAGTTGGCAATGAGATCATGGCCAACCATGACCCCCCCAAATCCCCCGCCAGGTCTGAAGCCGAGCTGCTCTTGGAAGCCATGTGGCGAGAGACCCCAGATCTCGGCGATACCTGGGAGGATGCAAAGCTGAGGGCAGTAGTGAAGTATTTGATTGGTGCTCGTGGTCTTGTTATCCCCAAAGCATGGGAATGGATTTTACCAACGCACTTGTAAATTGAAATCGACCATATGCCATATGGGGGTGAAAAGGACATTGTACAGTGAACTTGAACTCTGCACATGGACCATGGTCGAATCTTGAAGCCACCATATCGCATGCATGGTGCCAGAATGTTTGCAAGCAAGTGTTCGAAGCGTGGCCACCTGAACGATTCATCAGTTTTCGAAGGACCCAGGGTCATGGATGCGAAAGGTTTCGAATCTAATATTGAATTTGCCACTTCGAAGCAAGTTGAAATCATGCTTGCATGCATGCAGCTAGGTTCGAGATGGTTCGAGTGGATTCGATAAAAATCAGCATTTTGGAAACATCTGCTTTTTGCCATGAAACATCTGCTTTTATGCATGCAACGTCTGCTTTCCTCCATGCCGGCGACTGTTTTTTTTGAACCATTCCGTACAAATTTTGGTCATTCGAGTCAGTTCGAGTTGTGTTCGAGTAGAATTTTGCCAAGCCGCTGCCATCGCAGGACTCGACATGGCTTCACCTCAGCCCATGCTTCGTAATGGTTGGAGCGCTGCAACGCTTCTTTCGGGTATTCAGCATATGAACATGGATTGTCTTCAAGCCATTAAGAAGGAACTCCCAGATGACCCTGATCAGTTGGCAAAGCTGTGTGAGGTGGAAACACTCGACTGTAACTCTTTAAATTTTTGGTTTCGAACCTGATTTCCATAAATCCTCATGCAGAATCTATGGTCTTGAAAATTGTTGTCATTCATTGATTAATTTTGGAGCTTCTGCCCATCCAACCCTGCACGCAGGTGCTTTCGGAGATGAGAGGTGCAGCTCTGGAGAAGGGTCCGGTAGCCCCAGTGCACCCACAGAGATCCAATTCCACTGCTACCACCATCCCAGCTACTGAAGAAGAACTTGCTGCACTTGGCAGGAAGGCTAGGTTAACATTTGCATGGAGCCAAAACAGATTCCATGAATGAACGCACATAGATTTAATATAAATTGATTTGAAGGGAAGCATGTGCATGCAGGTATCTCCAGCATTACCTTCACTGGAAGTGGCTGCTGGTGCAAAGCCATTGCCAACTGCTTTCAAAGCGCCCCCACCCACCAAAGCACATGTTGCAAGGGTTGCACGGCCGATAGTGGCACAAATAGCAGTCCCAAAGGTTGGTACCGCCCCCCAACCACCTGCTGGAAGTGTTGCCCAAACCAAAAGATCAGCTGTGAGTGTTTTGGAAAACACAGCAGCAAAGATGACCCGCTTGCTAGCCCCGAGCCCTGTGCACCAACCAGTTCCTGCCTTGCCGACCCAGCCTGGTTCTTCCAGCCAAGTTGCACGCAACCTGCAAGCAGAGCTTGATCGAGTAAGTGATGGCCAGCGCTGTCCACTGCCTGATTCAAGCTTAGTGTTTCCAAGCGATGCTGCCGCATTTGGACCTCCAGCCCCTTTGGGGAACTTCACTCCCGCACCTTCAGAAGTCATGCCAGTTGATTCTGACCAGGAACCCATAACATATTGACACAATGTGGCTTCATCCTTTATTGTTCGATGATTTTGAACTGCATGAGTGTCATGTCATCCAGGAGCGCCGATGGCAAAAACTGATGGACCTGGTCTCAGCCCGGGATGCTGAGATTGCTGAGCCGAAGAAGTTGCTGGTCCAGGGTTCATCAGGTCTCGCTTCGACTGAGGCCTCTCCTGAAATCCCGGCTGATGCCCCTCCTGGTGGTAAGGCCCCTCGTGATATCCCAGCTGATGCCCCTCCTGGCAATGCTGCTGCAGCCAAGGGTACTGCGGGAAGTCCAGCGACACCCGCACCCATTCCAGCGCCATCTCATCCTGCAGAGGGGGATGGTGAGGGAAGCCCTGTCATTTTACACATAGCTACTATGACCAGGGCTGAGAAGGAGAAGGTTCGAAGGTTGGTGACCCCAAAGCCTACCACTGGAAACCTTTCAGTGCCCAAAGACATCTTTGAGTTGTGGCAGACCGACAAGGGTAGGGAGAAGCTGTTGTGCATGTGGTGCAAGTCTGGTGGTGTGAAGGCAGGTCTTGGGGGGTTGTTGTTCGATTTGCTCATTCAATTGTCATTTGTTGAGCATTGCTTTGCAAGAGTAATGCACTACTTTTTCTTCGCATGCATGTGCTGACTTGATGCACCAGGCTGTCTTCATACAGCGGGTTGAATTTTTGTCCACCACGACCAAAAGCAAGAAGATCGAGGTCAAGGGAGGTTTCTATAGCGAAGAAGATATGAAGACAGAGCTTGGATGCTCCCCGAACATTGGCATGCAATTAAGCTAAGGCATTTCCAACGGTTCATGAACATATTTTATACATGCCATGAGCCGGCTCCTGACTCCAAGGGAACGCATCGAGAAGATCAAGAAGTGGGCGACAGAGAGGAAGTTGGTGAGGCGCAAACTTCCTCAGGGCAGCCCAGTTTGGCAATTTTCCTCTTGGGTTGGCCATGAACACCGATTTGGGGCCCGCATTTCTTGCATCATGGCCCCGTCCTTGGCCAACCCAAGAGGAAAATTGCCAGCCCAGTTAGTCCCATATTGCATATCTCATGGACTGCTAACACCAGTTTTGCCTGTTTGAAGAGCATGGCCCATGCCAGGATTTGTGAATACGATGAGACCGTCATTGAGTACTGGGTCAACACACGAACCAGTGGCGTCCTATCCAGGGAGGACCTGCAACGCTTAAGTGTTTCAAGGTCTCATGAGGGTGAGGGTGAGCTTGGTGGTTCTGACATGCAGATGTTTGATAGCACCATGGATGCTGGTGGGTTTGATGACCTTGGACGGCCTGGTGATGTGGACTTGGAGGGTGATACATCGCTACAGGTAACTAAGTTGCACATACATGCCATGCTTGACCATTCTACAAATCATAGTTGCGCTGCAGATCTTCATTTCACACATCGATCAATGTTCACTATAGTTGTGGACTCCTAGGCCAAAGCAAGGCTGAGTATGTACTTGAAGAATGCCCTTAAGAGCAAGACCGGCCTGTGCACTATCGCTGATAAACTGGCTGACCTGTCAGAAACAGATGTGTCGTGCAAACAGCAGCTTGGATGTATATGCAATATATACATGCACGCATGCATATGTCAAGACATAGCGTGCATGATCAAGCAATAGGGTCCGCATGTAGCTTCTGTCCCGCCATGCTCAGGACCAGGGACAAATTGATCAAACTGGTTAGTGAGATTGACGCGAGCTATGAATATCTTTCGGATTTGCAAGCTGAGGGTGACACCATCGGGTATAGCGAATCGAGTTTTGGCTTTAAGGTGTACACTGCATATGGTATGATCTTCCAGTGGAGCATTCTTGGTCTCAATCCTTCTATAAAGCTTTTCTTGTTGAAATCTGAGGATCAACAAGAAGCTCGAGACTGCGTTCCAAGACCTTACCAAAACGAACCTTGACCGGGGTGGTGAAGGTTTTAAACACAATGCTGCGCCATGTATTTTTTTTGCCCAACGCGTCCCCCAGAGATGCTCGACCCCATTCCATACAGCCCAGGATGTCCAAAGCCACCACTACACAAGCGGCAGCCCAGTCTGTGACCAAGGGACGAGCTCGGTGATATACATCGTATACTGCATACAAAATCACCATGACCATAACACATTTGCCTTGGGTGATGTGCTTGAGATTCTCCTAAGGCATTTCCTTGCAAAGGCAAGAAAGGCGGCTAAGAAAGTGAAGAATGAGTAGATGGCTCCAAACTGCGAACGTTTCTAGCGCCATGCAATGTTCATGCACATGGCATGTCCTAAAGGGGATGCAGCCTGGGAGAGGGCATGAGAATACATGCGAACTCAGAACCTGTGGCTGCTTTACTATGATCGATCCATTGAGTGGGGAAAATGCTCATAGCGCCGTGCGGAAATGCATCTCAATCAATGCACCGCAATGCAACCATCATCATGTTGGAAATACTTCATGCAGGTGTCATGAATCATAGATTAGGTACATGGTCTGGCCTGCGGATGACTAGCAACTTTTGGATACTGGATCATACGTACTGGGTAGTTCGCCGCAGGTGACTTGCAGTTGAGCAGCACTGTTCACCACATTGCCAAGATGTACGCCAAAGGTGTAGCTTGCCTGGTGGTTGGGAGAGGTTGAGCAGCCCGCATTCTCACGATTCTCAGTCGTCCCTCATCCCAGCTGAGACAGACCTTTATAGTCTGATGATGATGGAGAGAGTTAAAATAGGATCCATGCAGTTATATAGTATCCTTAGTTTTGAAGATCTTGCGTGTCCATGCTTTCCATTCTGACCCGTGGCAACCCTATGCGATTGGTGGCCGCGCCCCAGGCACCAGCCATCGATTGTGTGAAGGAGGCAAAAGCAGCATCCAAAAAGGATGATTGCCGTACTTTGCAGGTGATAGCCCGTGCACCGCTTTCAAGCGCTGATGAACCCTTATTCCGAGCACTGAGGAGTTCTGGACTGGTGATGGATTTTCCAATATCACAACTCCAGCTTGACAATGATTTCAAATACCCGGTCTTTCCACCTCGTGAACAGCTGGAAGCTTCGGGATCAAAAGGTTTTTTGCACAAGATCATTGGCATACCCATTGCCTATGCTGACACCGAGCTAACCAGATTTTGGGGGAAATACAAGAGGTTGTGCCCACAACATGACATATTTGCGGAAGCCAATCTGGACTTCAGCCACCTCATACCATACTATCTCCATGGAGATGGGGGGCGCACCTACAAGAAGGACCCCATCATGATCCTGTCGATGTTTAGTGCCTTTGGATGCGGGACCGCCCGGAATCCTGTCGAGCTACAGCCAGTTCCAGGCCAAAGCCGGAAGCGTCGCTTTGATCATGGCGACAAGTTTGAACCGGGAGTGAACCTACGTGGAAATACATTTACTAGCCGCTTTCTTTTTGCTGCCATGAAAGCTGAGTTCTACAAGAAAAAGCCTGGCCGTTTCCAATCGCTTCTGGATCAATGGGGTCAGCTATTGGGATCGCTTTTTCATGAAGGCTTGTCCTGCAATGGTGAGAACTGGAAAATCGCAATTTTGGGTATCACAGGTGATGCTCCGTTCTTGAGGGAAGCTGGAAACCACAACCGATCTTTTAGCAATGTACGCAAGAGTGCAACAGCTAGAACAATGCTCCCCGGCGTTTGCTGGCTCTGTGCTGCTGGAAAAACAAATGGACCTCCGTTTGAGGATGTGAGGCTGTCAGCCCAATGGACGACAACATGTGGCGTCAGCAACATTCTGCCGTGGGATCAACCTGGCCCACTCCTACAGCATGTGCCAGTGAACGATCTTGACCTTGCAGCTTTTTATCGCCCTGACTTATTTCATGTGTACTTTGCGGGTGTTGGCAAAGACTTTACAGCGTCTGCGCTGATATACATTGCCAAAACAGTTTTCAAACAGAGCAAAATTCAAAGGTCTGTGGAGTCCATGAATGGAGAAATGAGAAACTTCATGAAAGAAGAGAAAGAACGCTTCAACTTTGGACACTTCTCCCTCGACCTACTCGGTTATGCTTCCTCCCGGTCTTTTTCGAAAGGGCATTGGTCAAAGAACATGGACACGGCCACAGTATCAAAGTTCATTGAATACATCTGCCGAAAACACATTCAAGATTTTCCTGATGACACCATTCTGGGTGAGATTTTTGAAGCGTGTGGTGCAATCCATCATTTTATGTCTGTGGTGTTTGCTGGTTCGTTTTTCTTGAGTGATATGGAGAGCTGGCAAATGATTTCAGCTGGACATGCCTTTATCGCCGGCTATATGAACTTGGCAAAGAAATCTTTGGATGCTGGCTACTGCTTGTTTGCATTGAAACCTGTAGTAAATTTGTTTGCACACATTGTGCACACGGCTTTGCAACAATACAAAGTGGATTGTGCTTCTGTAGTCAACCCTATTGCAGAAAGTACTTTCATGGCAGAGGACCTGGTGGGGAAAATCAGCAGATTAAGCCGCAGAGTGTCAGCAAGGAAGCATGGAGAGAAGATCATGTATAGATACATGGTTGCGACGCACTTTCACCTGAACCACCCGGATGGATTGCAGCTGGATGTCTAGAAAAAAGAGCGCCCATCCTGTCTTTAAAGGGAATCGGTGAATGAAGATATGTTCAACATGGATTAACATGTTTTCACAAAGTTGATGATTCTTGCAACGTCTGCTTTTTCTCGAAACGTCCATGTTTCATAGCAATACAGTCTTCGACTGTTTTAAAGCTGATGTTTATGTTTACAGGTATATATACAGTGCACTCCAACTCTCCCCAGTCTCTCCCCACTGGATTCGCAGGTCCAGGGCAGGTTGGGTACCTCCGACGCCCCAGGGCTCCCCACGAGCTGGCCCGGGGTGAGCCCTCTCGCTTCCTTCACCAGGAGAGTCCTCAAGAGGCGTGGAGTGACAAGCTACTTGGAGTCGCAGCCTTTGGTACGTTCAAAGAAGGTGAAAATCATGGAATCTGAAGACTCGGGAACAGCTTAAGAAGCTCATTCTACCTCCAAGTCTTCCAGCCTATAATAGTGATCACAGTGCCACAATGGAAGACGATCCCATGGACCCTGGTTCAAAGCGGCCCTGGGCCCTGGGTGCCCATATAAACCGGTCGCCCGGCTTCGGAAAGTGCCTTCTCTTCCAACTGACAGTGATGCAATATGAATGTGCATTTTAATAGGGAGACCCCCTGGCCGTGGCTTGGTAGACTGATCTAGGACGTCCTTCAGGGGGTTGAACTGGGAGGTCTCCCTATTTCACTGCACACCATATGTTCGTGGTTCAGACCGGATGTCTACCCAGTCGACATTCCCTCCCCAGACTAGCCAAAAGGCGCCAGTCAAACCGGGCACGGTTTCCAAGGTGCCAAATATGTTTTGGAGTGCCTGTGGTCGTGATCAGCTTCCTCTTTTGTTCTGAACACCTGCTACAAAGGATATCCACAGCTAAGTCTGGTGTTTTTCGAGTAGTCGAGTACTGACCCCTTGATTGGTTCTATAGTTCTACACAACTCATTCCCTGCAATGGACTCAGCCCAACTTGTAATCAATGAGTCTCTCTGTATCTCTCTGTTGGGGCGTATGCAAAACTGGTGCGACCTTTGCAACCCAGGAACGCCGTAGAAGCGAACGACAGGCCCAGTTCTCGACAGACCCGAATCGCTCCGTGCTCCAACGTGAGTTTCTGGAGTGTACGCTGCTCCCGGGCCCAAGCCACGAACCCACATCCGACGCATCTGCTTTGTTTGGGATGGATGAATGGTGGATGAAAAGCAGCTGCGCAACATATACTGTAGTTAACACTAATTACACTGCAATCACACCAGTGGCAAAATAGAAGTTGAAAGACAATTGTGTGTGTGTGTGTCATATTGTTTTATTCTTTGCATGGCGGCATGAAAGCACAAGAGTCGTATCCTATTTCTCCCCCAAAGAGCCAAACATAACACGACAGGAGTTCCCTGATGCTTTTGGTCAAAGGCGATCCATACATTGCACCTTGCTGGCCAGTGGCCCAGCTGCACCCAAACTTGCCGCAGCCTTCCCCTTCACACCCCAAACGCCTCAAAACGATGACACTAACGACAAACAAAATCCCGACATCAGCTTGCGGTCTCCTGCAAACAGCTTTCGCCTTTCGGATCTCCTGTCAGCTTTGTTCCGGTCTTCGCAAGCTCAGCAGGTCGCCGCGCCGATGTCTTAAGCGGGAACGACTACGACTCGTTCCGAAAAGAAGGCTCTTGGAATGGCGGGGTTGTGCCAAGGGCAGGGTTGAGCCTGTTTAAATAAATTGATTATATAATGAACACGTTTAAATACATTGTTGTAGTATGTTGTAGTATGTTGTAGTTACATCACTTTCTGCCTTTATATGATATCAAAGCCAACTCCACCTTGTGGATCTCCATCATCTTTGAGGCCCCTAGCCCTAGCACTTCTGTTTATGTTTGCTGCCCGGCTGTCCTGAGGGTCGTCTTCAACCAAGATCACCTGATCTGCGGAAAGACCTGGAGCAGAACACCCCCGTCCGACCCGCCGACGGGTTTCGCACGAAACTCTCCACGTCGACGTCGGGTGCATCGTCCAGTACGTTTGTGGTGTTCTCCTCCGAAGTTGGGAGGATCGTTCGTGGCAAAGGCAACGATGCGGAAGTGAAGAAGCGACATGGTGAATTCTGAGTCATTGGAGGAAGCCAGTTTGCAACCCAGTGTGCCTTCCATTCCTGTGCGGGACATCGACACCAGGCTACCATGGCTGCAAACAGAAAACCTAATCTACCCCTATATAAATAGTACGATTGCAAGTTTTATTGCCCCAAACTCACCTTGCGGCCAACAAGTCCGCCGCTCCGTTGGTACGGCGCCTTTCTGCCGCATGAGATTCTGCGCCAAGGCATCCTTCGAGGTCCACTGAGCCTGACGTGTGCGGAGCGATGCGACCACGGTTGGCGCGATGCGACAGCTGTGTGGAGCTTTCGAAAGGATCATAGCTGGATATTTAGGGTGAACTTGATTCTTGGCACCTTAAACATCCTTAAAACAAGAATGCCAACCTGCTCCTTACTTTCATATTCCAAGCACGTCTTTGGTTGGTACATGCAAGTACTCGAGGTATGGTCCTAAATGTCGGCCACTCCTACTACATTCATGCATATCATTGTTTCATTCTGTATTGTTTTGCAACATCTGCCCTTGTCAAACACTTCAAATTCACCATATTGACTCGCAAACCATCGCAAACCTCTATACTGTACATGTCCCAACGAGTTCATCACATGCTCAGGATTCGTCCAACCCTCTCCGGTCCATGGCAAGGCTATGTTCTCGTTGAAACAAATGCCCATGCCAAACTGCCAACTCCCTGGATCCCCCCCTGCTCTTTGTACCTCATATAGCACGAGTATTGGAGTCCCTTTTTTCTTCATACCGGTTTCTTGGGTCCAGCACAGGATGCGACTCTGCGACATAGGGTTGGAGCCCAAAACAACTATGTACAGCATCAGGGCCTCTGAATCTCCAAGCTCTGGCAGGCTCTCATTCTGGGGGGCTTTCATGAACAACTTCCCGCTTGAGATCATGGGTGGCTTCAGCACACCTGGCACACCTCTCAGATCGACCCCTGGCAGGTCTTCAAAGCGCCGTACCGTCGCTGCGCCTGCCATCTCTCCCCGAGCATGGACTGCAGGTCCGCGGGACAACTGCGCTCTTCCGCGACCTGAACACATGGTGGTTGGCCGTGGTCTTCCGCGGCCGTGAGGTGCCAGTGACGTTGGCCGAGGTGCCCAAAAACAAGGTGACGCGGACTCTGACTACATTCAAAGAACGTTCGGTTTGGTTTAGGAAGCCCCTTTTCGGTTTGGTTCTGAAGAGGTGAACATCGAAGCAAGCTTAGGAAGGGGACGAAAGGAAACTGGTCGAACGGACGTAGTTCGATCCCACCAAAACCTTGGCACCTTGGATGAACAAGAATCGATCCACTGCCTTTTGGCATAATCCCCGTGGTCCAACGGCAGATCAGAAACATTTACTTTCCGCTTGGGTGATTCTGCCAGGCCATCTCACAACTTTACTGCATATCCCACTCCCTGAATGGAGTGTTTTCATCTTTCCTGTCCATGTGGCAAGGAACCATCTGTGAGAAGAAACACCCCGAAATCCTTCGGCTTTGCAAAGATGGACACACATATGTCAAAACACGACAAAAGAAAGGACAGGTCAGTTCCAACAGCAGACTCGACATGTGGATTTCCCTGGTTTCCCCCATGAGAGCCTTCGAGAAGCTTTTGAGCCATCCCCATCCATCTGTAGCCTCTCTCTCTCTATGTCACATAGAATATATAATATACATGCCATGTATTCTTTTCCACCAAGTTACAGTAAGTTCGTGCGTGTCAAGCGCAGCCCGACCTGGTGCCGGTTCTCGCCTGCTTGTCGAACGGCGTCGCTCCGTAGGTGTCGCCGATGTGCCCGTAGATCTGAGAGCAGCGCCGGAAGCGTCCCAAGCGTCGACGAGTCCGGTGTCGCTTGTTGAGAGCAGCCTGCTCTCACGAAAAATCATGCAGAAATTGGTGAGTTTGTAACCTTTTTTGAAGCGAATTCTGAAGAAATGATTCAGCTGCACCATTTCTTTTTTCGCACCACACATGAGAACCATGGGAAACTCCAAAACACATACTGGTACTTTACAGGGGATGCACCCTCGGACCCTGTCAGTTGTAGGATTCAATCTCAACAACGCCCTCAATGCTCATGCCAGGATGCCGCAAGATCAGTTTGACCACATTCTGAAGGTCCATGATCCTCCATGCTTCCCCTCACTACATCTTTCCGTGCCCGGTTCCACGCCCCATCAGGCCCCACGCCACATGAGGCCCCGGCCTGGCTGAAGAACTGCAGCCAGCCCAAGCGATCCAAGGCCAAGCGCACGGGGCCAACAAAGCCCTGATGGGGCCGAAACCAGTTTCGAACGGAACGTCTCCACCAATAACTTCAGAGTCGACAGTCTACAGTGTACAGATGGCGGTATGCAGTTGAGATAGTCCGACATGTTCAAAAGGGATCAACTAATTTTGTGGTATGCTTTTCAGGACATGGGAGAAGCTCATAAGCTTTGTGTGTTCTTTGCTTACACCTTTAGTTGGATGGCTTCGATGAACATTTCGATCCCCCCAAGAAGTTCTTCCAACCAGATCACCCAGGGCTGAAACCTGTTTGCTTTACACCCACGTTGCCACAAAGACCCCCAAACGGTCACAGGATCATCTGACCCTGCGCCGAAGCCGAGAGGCTTGGCCCCCATCGGGACACCCCCCCGTCGCATTCACGGGTCGATGCGGTTCGAAGCTGTTCACACCCAGACCAGGCTGACATGAGCTCAGCCGACAGGCCTTGGAATTGACCCCCAAAAATTGAAACCGACAATGCTGAAAGTTGAAAGGACACCCGAGAGATCAACATCAATTGGCAGTGGGTCAAAATCGGGACACCCTGGTTTTTTCCCACCGAACATGAACCGAATAGACTACTGACTATACTGACTACTGGGGGCCCGGTCAACCTACCAGCTTTTTCA